AAATTAATACAAAAATATGTAGTTACCTTAGCTAGCTATAACTAAGGTAAATTGACTCACGATTTAAACCCCAAGAAAAGTATTTTTAAAGTGGGTTCCTGAGACCAAAATCTCTATATAAATCATATTGTTATCCTTCTAATTATCTGACATAACGGAGATAATATCTTTTAAACGGGAATTTTGATGTCAGAAAACCACGGTGAGATGTTCGATGAAACCGAAAATAATATTTCCCAGTTAAATTTGAAATTTTAATATAACATAAATATGTATATTTTAAATTCATTTCCGACGGAATTTGCTCGCACATTTTCATTCGATTTAATATTCATTGACGGTCAGCGGCATTTCATTTTAATATGGCTCAAAGTTTGAAAAACTCTGGCCGTTTAGTTTCCCGGGAGAGGGAGGGAAGTCGATATCGCTTTCAGTAAGGTGATATAGAGGGAATTTTCCTTATAATATTAGATGGAACGTCGGTTGGGCTTATCTTTAAATTCTTTGGATAAAATCAGGTACTTTGATTGGTGATACAATAAATTAACTTCGAAAGATATTCTTTCATGAATTATATTAATATATTCAATATTAAATCTACGTTGAGAAATATTGCGTAATATAAAACAAAGTTTCGTTTTACTGATCTTTTTCACCTCCTCCTTATACTTTCACAATCAGAATAAATATTATGTAACGTAAATAAAATACTTATTATATAAACTAACAATTTTGTTAGTATTTAATAAGCGTACCTGTAATAAAGTTTCTAATATACACTTCTTTCATTTAAGACAAGAAAATGTACAGTTTAATATAAGTTATGAAGGTTGAGTAGGATGAGCTCGCCTGGCTTTACTTCATTACAACCCCTCCGCCCACCGCCCCGCGCCTCCACCCACCCCATACCACCCTTACCCCCGGGGGTAGCACACAAATTCCTTTTTTGTTCCTCGTTCAGGACAATTAACTTTTAATTTGCTTACGTTATTTTTTTGCGAGAACCATATTTCGTCCGTTACGTTTTGTTGTGTATTTATTGTTTTATTCGCATGTTGCTTTTTATTACATTTAAGGTTTATTTAAATAAATTATAAGCATTCATTATTTTCCGCATTTCTGACTTTTTATATGAATAATATTGGCAACGCAATTTAAATACCTACCAATAATAATATCTAGAACATTTTTGTACCATCAAAAGGATAAGTCTACGTTGAAGTAAATAATATCACATGATGTAACATATCAACAGCTAATATCCACCGGAAATCCAGTGCTACGCCACCTGGCGGGAAAATGAAATACAACATTTTATTACCCATACGCGATGTACGAAAATGGAAGGCTTATGGATGCTGTTTATTTTGAAATTTTTGCTCTTTTATATTACATGGTAATAAACAATTATAATTTAAGGCGACCTTTCAATAATTTGTTTTTCTCTACATATTCACATTTGTAACAGACGAGAATACAAAAACAGAAATTTCCATTTTACATAATAGAAATACAAATACTATCCATGCAAATAATAAATCATACCTTTAATATATAAATTTAGATAGTTCTAAAAATTTCTAATGTCTGCCTAACCTTTTACAACCAAAGTATCAACGCATTTTATATTTAAACAAAGAATTTACATCCCAGTATAATTATGTTTTTTTCTTTGTTATGTAAATTTTTTATCTTTAAAGATACGATCCGTATAAGTTTTGGGGACAAAATCCCTAATATTTATGGCTTTTGAACAATATAGAAGTTGTTCGGTTTTACGTGGGGATTATGATAATATTGCTTTTAGAATGATAAGCAGTTTGTGCGTTATTTTAAACAAAACGTTGAGTTGAAAGACAAGTTAAATAGATAAGCGAAACAACCCTTTTTACGCAGTTAAATATAAATTGTTATTAAATGTAATTTTAATTAGGTTTTTAAAACATATTTTAACACATATATATAATATATAAAATTAAATAAGATTATATAGTTATTTAACATAAATCTTGTTGGTGACATTATGTATAACTCTAGTACGGTTGAACAGATTCGGCTAACAAATTGTGTGTAGAGTGGGTAGGTAGCTTAGAAGCAGGAGGCGGATATTGAATAGGACTTTTTATCTTTTTTTTTAATTTTGCACAGACGACATCTTGGGTAAAAGCTGGTAATTTATTAAATTAAATTAAATGCAAAAGTAAGCAAAATAATTTAAGTATCGATACTAAACAGTAAATCTAAATAAAAGACATTTTTTTCTGTTGCAATCATACAAATTATTATTTTATCTTCAATTTGTCAGAAAATTTCCAGCAGAGACATTTTAAAGACTGAAGTTGATTGAGTTCTATCTCCGGAACTTAGACAGGGCCCCGGCGACCGGCTATTTCCGGTACGGACTGGGTGCTACGTAGTGACGTAGTCGTCTACGACTTTGCTACGGATATTACTATTAGAGCCCGAGAAACCGTTTATATAATCCATTAAATAAATGTATTAAGATATGATTATAAAATAATATTGTATTGCGGCAAAACTAAAAAAAAACATATTGTTGTATGTGATTTACAAAGAGGTATAGAAGAGTTTGGGAAGTGAAAACTCACAGTAATTCGGGGCGTTAGTCTTCAAACGTCAAGGGAATCCACAATACGGTACGGTTCATTTATTTGACGCGGAATAATCAGGGACTGAGCGTCAGGGAGACATCGATTGATTGCCTCGTGTCATTGACCTCCTCAGTTTGTGCCTCCGCGAAGCTTCTGTAATAATTAATGATGATTAATTACTAATTATGTACATTTAACATTTCCTGTCTCAATATAGGACTCCAGGACAGATATTTTACAGTTCAATATATGTATACAACATAGTTATTTACTTTAAAATCTATTTTCATTACCAACCATCACACATATATTTGTTACATAAACCTTTCAAAAATACTATTTTTTAATGTACAGTTACACAATAATGGTGCATTTTAAAAATATTTTTTCGTATTCCGTCATGTTTTCGGAATTGCGGTATAATTATGAAGTGTAAACACTTCTAGCGACCTTTTTTATGCCGCGCTGCTATTGGGAGTAATTAACAAACAAACAAAAACACATCGTGTAGGGGAGCCGGCGCTGAGTAGCGAGCGCCAAGGCTGCTGCGTCCACATTCATCCGCACTGCGTCTTCGCTCAGCCCTTGTTGTGTGATCGGCTTAATGCCGCATGATGACTTAACTATGAATGTGTTAGTAATGCGGGCTACACACGTTTCGTTTTCACATTTTTCACCTAATTTGCAAGCAAAGCTGTAGTTACGCGAATTACGAAAACCGTTATGCAAAACCTAAAAAGTATTGCCTATTTTTTTCAAATAAGCTTCAACTACGAGAATTTAATGAAATAAAGTGTCATAAAATTATCCCCATAAATTCAAACAGCTTTTTTGTTAAGCTTAAGACTTACTTGACATTAAGTTAGTGACCTTTGAACTTTAGGAGCCAGGCTCGCTCGGGACCCGCCACTGCTGCGGAAACGTTTAGTATTCACTGACACGAATTTATATCTACTGACTCAGAAATATATAATAACATAACATAACATAACTGTAAGATAATATAACAAACAACTGAAAAGTTAATATATAAATAGTTAAATATAGTTAAATAACTAACATTATTGCAAACTTTAGATTGGAAAACAAATATATTTACAAATAAAATATAATACATTCGAACTTGGATAAACTAGAGTCCAAGGCGCCGCAAAATTTAACTCGCCTGTAGAGGTTTTTCGATTATCCAGGCTGGATCGAATATAATAAAACAGTGCACTGGTTGCGGCAGTGTCGGCAATAACATCGAACACAACATAATCAGAAGTCTAAAGACATGTTGGTGTTGCGGTATAAACAACTCATTCTTTGGAGGATTCTCTATCGTATCGACACCGTGTTTTTCTTAATAGATATCGTATAAATCAAGTATATGCATATGAAACGGATTTTTAAATTGCTTTCATTTAGGTATCTTCTTTCTTTAACTTCTTTTCATAGTGATGAAAATAATGTATGTTTTTTTAAAATAGATGGCGCTATGGTCGTTTTATAATCGTATAACAGTAATTTTGTAACGTTACTTTTTGTCATTACTAAAAGAGAGAACATATAAGAAGATATTAAGAAGATAAATTAAATCCAACTTAAACAAAGATCGATTCAAAGCGCCGAAATAACCATTACAGTTTGATTATGAATTCAATGCTGATCGTAGTCAAAAATCGGCAACATACCATAGTGTAATTAGTGCTTACTGTGCGTTCTTGGTTAGTAAACTTAGCATGTTTTAGCGTTTTTTTTTACTATGTCCATTCTATCGATAAGAATTACGCTAGCGTGTCTCTCGGCGCAGGGCGCGCAGGAAACCTGCGCAGTGTGAGCTGCCGTATCTCACAGGGCGCCGCCGCTGCGGGCTACGACTGCGGCCCGGCACCCTAGGGCGGACCCAGACCTGCAACCATCCTCCCTGATAATACAAATATGAGCCATGCCTTCTTATCTTAGTACATTTTTCATTTATATTAAATTTGCTCTTTCGTTGATTTTCTTAGATTCATAACAAAAGATATGTTAAATATGATAAGGTATTGTAATATAAGGGAGAGTTATCTTTTAGAAGATAACAGATGCTGTATCATTGGATTGTGTGTTTAGCTGGTCTTTGTTTCGACTGTTGAGAGCGGGCAGCGTGTAGCGTGCAGCGGGCAGCGGCAGCGGGCAGTGCTCAGTAAAAATCGCTAGGAAGCCCATGTGCAGAAGTGGGGCACCGGCACCGGCGCGGCGCTCGTCGGCGCTCGGCTCTGCGCCGCGCGGTGACGCATTGCAGGTGCGCGGTGGCCAATCGGCGCGCGCCGCCCGCTGCTCCACACCGCTCTACGCCGCCGCACCCGCCCGATATAAAACCGACTATCCTTTGCGGATTAAATCTAATCCCGTGTCGTGCGTCCCGAGACATGGACTTGAACGTCCGAGACTTTCGCGCCTGAATCGAAAATATAGTAAAGTGCGAACCTAACCGAGTGCGAGAATCGAAAAACGGACATGAGAACACAGCGATTCGATTGAACCACTCGAACGATTCGCGCGGCCGAACTCGGAACGAATCGCGAGCGCGAGTTTCTCGGCGCGGCCGCTCGCGCGAGTGAGGGCGGCAGTATCGTTTCAACCGTCGGTCTGTGCGGTCGCTTTTGCGGCGTAGTCTGTGATTTTTAGTGTAGCTCCAGATAATCCAACTTAATCTACGATGGTGAGTGATATTTTGCAAAGAAAATTTCTCCAGTGCATTAGGGAGGACTTTTTGCATCGTATTCCTTGCATATTTCGGGTTTTTAGTGCATCGGTGTTTATAGTGATGACGGTCTCCATTATATTATTGTGATGGCCGTATTTTACCGCAATGCGGATCGTCGACGTCGCCAAAGTCGGAACACCGAAGAAGAATAAACGTAATGGAGGCAATAGTGGGCTCGAGATGGGCGTTAACGGTTGGATTTCGTGAAATGACCGTTATAGTGTATCGAGAAACATCCGTCGCCATAGTTTGTTAGGTGTTGCCGGTCAAATGACGTTTGCCTGGATGAAGCCGAACGTTCGATGACGCTTTAAAAATGGCGCAGAGCAATTGTTAGAGCGTTTTGTAGTTGTTTTCACGGTGCAGGGCGTCCGGGGCCGCGTCGCGCCCTGTTGACGGCGGATCGATCGACCGGCGCACCTGTCAAATGCCCGTTGACTCATCGTCATCGCAACCCGAGCTTTTATTTTACATACGCAATTCAATAAACTAGTTTCGATTGATTGCTCCGTTGGTGTACGAGGTTGTTGCAACGAGAAATGGTAAAGTACGAAGTTTGCAAACTGCTTGATTATCGACTTGCCTAAAACTGCAGATGCCCACTAATGTCTCTATAACGGATAACATTAATAGTAGTTTATGTACCAAAAATAAAATCAAATCCAGTATTATTATTAAGTAAACTTGATTGCACTAAATAGTCAAGTATCAGTTTAAGAATTTTCAGGCTTTCATAAATTAATTAAACCACCTCTTAGACACTGGATACAGATATGATTATTCTTATCATTCATTTTAGATATTAATATATTATAAATAAGTTGTTTTATGAATTCTCTCCACTATTCCTTTGTTTTGTACAAAATCTATAATCCAGTTGGATTTCAGTAAGGATGTATCACATCAGATTTTAAGCAAAAGGGTTATAACTTTAACTACAAATGTGCAAAAATAAATTTAGAAGTAAGTAAAATAAATACTACTTACTATAATGAGAATGTTGAGATATTTTATCACTTAAATTTGGCTTTGATGTTCTATATCATAGTTCTACATGGTCTGGGTGAACTCATAGGTCACTAATTTAGTTTTTTAAATTCCATTTGAACAGACACAAGCGACAGTAAATCTATAAAGTGAACTGACAGGAATAATTGGCAACACTGAATATTTTAACCACTTTAAATTATTAACATAAATGTCTGTAAAACAATATGAAGAATATTTTTCTTTCTGAACATTTGACAGTTATTCAGAAAACGATAAATTTTCTATAGAAATGAGGCTACTGCCATAAATGTATAGATTTTGAACTAATGGATCATAGTTGAGCTGTTCTTGTTTGAATGTTGTATTGTTTCACAGATATCTTTTGTATTGAAATTGTATTGTCTTGTTTTTTCTTACAGCATTGTCTCTATAAGTTATGGTAGACATCAAGTAATAGATCAGATAAATTGGTACAAAAATCTAGTTGCAGTAACCTTTGAAGTAAGAAAATAACTTATGAAACTGGCAACACTCTGCTAATCACTGATGCTAATGATTTATGCAAGTTTAGGGTTTTTATAAAAAAGGGTAAATGAAGATAACAAATTTTTGCAACATTTACTCTTGAGTGCAAATGTTAAGTTACTAACAATTATATATAACATGTACAATAAATAATATATTCAAATTTCGTTAATGACACATAAACATTGAATATTTTGTAATAACTAGATATAATTTACTTACTTTTAAATCTTGTTAAATTCTTTTTTACTTGCAATTGAGGGTAGTTAAAATTTTAAACTCTGTATTCTTTGGAGCACAAGATCTTTTCTTATTTTGTTAATATTTAGAATGGTACTGATATTAAACATGATTTGTCAAATATGTTTGATCATAGATTACATAGAAAGTTAATTTTTAGTTTTTGATGGCAGAATCTTTTTTTTTATTTAGTTTTATTTAAATAGCAATTAGTACTGACATATATTGATAACAAATCAATTTTATATTCAATGGAAATTAGTACCAAATGTATATCTTGTACTTTATCTTGATTGTGATAAAGTTTATTGTAATGCAGCATTTGGTATCACGTAGTCCGCATTGTGACGTGGTGTATGTAATTATGTGTATATCTTATCAGACAAGCTGCTCGGCAATCTTACAATCTACCATTTACTGTTTGGTCTTCATACATTGCTGTTATTGAAATTAGTCGTACAAAATGGTTGTTTCAAGTGTATGTATTTTTAGTTATAAAAACTGTATTTTAATATGACTAGATCCTTAGTTTTGTGTTCTAAATTAATTCTATATGTTAACAAAGTGTTTAGTTGCTATTAGTAAATATTGGCATATATAGGAGCTTGTAATTTAAATGATATTGGATTTAGATATAAATCTATTTCTTGGAATTTATTTGTATTAGTAAAGTTGTTGAAATTGCGTTAAATTTAGGCTTACCATTGTAATAATTTTCAAGATTTGATGTACGCAAAACAAATATTAGTTTTATAAGTTTGATTGACAATATAGAAATGTGAAGATTTTTCTAGATAATTTGTCTTACTAATTATTGATTTTTTTCGTCTCGCAGGCGGACCAACTGACAGAGGAACAGATTGCCGAATTCAAAGAGGCGTTCTCACTGTTTGACAAGGATGGTGATGGCACCATCACCACCAAGGAGTTGGGCACCGTGATGCGCTCGCTGGGTCAGAACCCCACAGAGGCTGAGCTGCAAGATATGATCAATGAAGTTGACGCAGATGGTAAGTAACCATTGCATGATAATTGTGCTCCACAATTACAGATGTACCCAAAATATGTGTATGAAGAGATGCAGTGGGTTCCGAAAACTATATTTGCAAAGATGTACAGTAGATTCAACACTGCATAAATAATATTAAGTAATAAAAAAATTGCTACGCTTCTTATATACTTATGAATTTGGGGTGATGTAGCAAATAACAGAATATCACCATAGGTTCATAATGGTAGTAAATAGTTTGGTAAAAGTAAAAAATAAGAAAATGCCAGTAACTAGAAAAAACCATCTTTTTCGTTTCTATGTTAAACAGAATTAAAATTTACCGTCAGTTTACTGTGCACACTTTTTAATTCTATAATTTTTTATAACTATAATTTCTTTGTACAATTTCATATTTTCATGATTTCGTTTTAATAATTCTATTTCCGTTGTTAATCTGTCGATTTGTTTGTTTAGTAATATTTTAAAAATTAACAGATATTTCATTATTTGCTTTTTTTATTTGTACGTGGGAAGTTGATGTCAGCATTTAGTAGACGTGTTTTTATTCGTTACCCGTGAGTTTATGTGACTAAAATCTTTGTAGAAAAACATATTATCATTGCTGTCTTACGTCCTCTGATAAAACAGATATATTTTAAACGGGGGATCTAGTCTCAGAAATCCACGGTAAGAAAATTACGTTGTTGGTGTTAAATGTAGAACTTTAAATACAGTAACTTATCATATTGTCTTTTGTTTTAAGACTGAAAACCAAAAAAATATATTATTAGTGATATCAATAACATTAAAATGGTTTTAGTGATTGGAAAAAGAAATCGATTTAGTAATGGAGTTCACGTTTTTATTACACGCTATTAAATGTAAATTACATTTCGTGATGTTAGTGACGTAGTCCATTAAGGCCTTTTTATCACTTCGATGCCTTTGAAACAATACTAAGAATCGTCTACATTCTTTTAATATGAGTACTAGATGCTATTAAATCTGAAGGTACAAAGAAATTGAATCTGTGACCGACGTTGCATTTTAAGGTACGCGTCCATTAACCCGCGCCGGACGCACGGCACGCACGGATTAAATGGATTCGCTTTGCCTCGTTGCGATGCGGGGCGGTGCGGATGTTGAACGCAACGCTATGTAAAATAATTAAACTAAAATCCTTTGCGGGCCGTATGTGCGGTGCGTCCGGCTCAGGCAAATAAACGCTTACCTTCACTGTACTGATCACTGGGCCACATAGCGTTTTTACTCTGACTCAATGTAAAATACACACTCAAAAGGATAGCAGCCACAATAGACTTTGAAATACGATGCATAGTCGATAACATAAAGAAGCTTGGTATCGATAACTCTTGATATAAAATACATTTCTTTCCCGATCTAAAAATATAAGGCAATAAAGATCGGCCTTGTTGCCAGCAAAGTTCAAGGTGCACCTTAACGAAAGGAGTTTCAGATCTTGTACCAATATATTTATTTTTTCCTATAGTTCTAGTTACTATTATCGAAAAGGTAAAATTGATTGCGCGAAACAAGATTATAAAACGTATTTTGAGTCCAGCGCTACTGTACTGGCATAATGCAAACGAGGCAAAAATACTATCGTAATGTACAAAGTGCGGCCTTCAAGGGAGACACAATGTTGCCGCCGTACCGGCTGAATTCCAAGCCGATAAGCGCACTTATCGCAAATACCTATTTGCGCGGTTTGAGTTTGAAAGCAATTGGAATTAATTTTAATACGATTTTCTTGATTTGGGTTTAGGTGGAATAGCCGATTTTTTTTTCTATTAAAATATACTGATCCGTATTAACCTGTTTAAATCAATGAGAATTGTAACAATGTAATAGTGAAAATCTTGCTTATTTACAAGCAAAAATAATTATAAAGTAATGTTTATATACTTTACACCCTAAATATTGCATTGAATCAGATAATATGCTACAATTTAAACATACGGCAACGCATCTGTAATTCCTCTGGTGTTGCGGATGTCCATAGGTGTCTTTCATCACCTCGGTGTTCCGTGTTTCTTATAAAAAAGACACAAAGGTCATAAACTAAATACGAGGAAACCGTTGGTACACATTATTGCGGACATTTAATACACCCGCTATTATTAGGAGCGATACGATATTATCAATGATCGATATTTTATCAATATGTCGGTGCTATGATTAGCGCGCGCTCCGGCACTGTGTACATTTTTCGTGTAATAAAAATAGATATAATGAACGACCGCTGGCAGACTCATTTTTAAACAAGAAGCATACATTTGACTAATATTTATGTGCAATTGCAAAATATTGTTTGAAATCATTGAATAAAAATGAAACTGTAAAATTTAATATAATTGGTTGAAAACGGTAAGAAATCGTAAAATGTCAAATTATCGTATTATTCAAATGATATAAGCAATTTGTAAATTTTGCGGAATGCGAGGAGCATATTAAAAGTAAAAAGTTTACTGTTATTGAAATAAATTAAGAAAATACTTTTTAAATATCTAGTAGTTTGCACATTGCCGCAAACCACGGAATTTGTGAAAAAATATAAGACATTTTTTTAATGTAAGGCCGAAATACAACAGTTTGTTCACGGTAATTAGGAAATTGAATGATCTACATTCTCCATACTTTTTCAGACTCATGGTATAGAAATTTTACCAGATTTACAACTAGAAATGATATATAAGGTTAGTTTTTCATTGATCTGCAAAATCAACAGTGCGGGTGCAGGTATCTTCAGCAGGGCGGTGCGTGCCGGGCGGCGCGGCGTGTTCTAACTATGATGTATTGGTGTTTGTCTTGCAGCACGCGGCGTGGGCGTGGTCGTTTACATCGCACTTTATACCACTGTAAATATTTTTCTACAGAACGTTTGCACCGAATCCTAAAATTCAATGTTAGCGACCAATATTTGTTTAACATTTCGTTGCTATCCAAACGAAAGTACCATAACTTTCTTGTACAAACTAAAGTTGTGAAACTTTGCACTTTGATTTTTAATGTTGAAAAAGAGAGAGCTGACAGTATTTTTCCATCGTCAAATTTCTTTGTCGCATTTTTTAATTTGGTGGTCACATGGCTAAAATTTAATGTTCTGCGTTTTATAAATTCGTAAAAATTACGGTATTGGTTTTGGTAAACTTAAGATATCGCTGGCAAATATTTAGCTATGGGCATATCTCGCGGCGTATGATCTTTGTTAGTACATGATTCAAATACACAAACATAGGAACACATGCGAGAGTCACGTGCGGGTATCACAAGACAAGAGGTCCACAACCATGAGAAGTCATAACTATGATCTCTTGGTCAACAATACTACCTCGTGATGTGTACCGTGGTAGGAGATACTTACAAATAAAACACTTTTCTTTATCTTATTTGCGTCCCTAAAAATCACCATACTTCAGTTGTTTTGAAAGAAAATGCAATATCAATTTCTACAAAAGTGCCATAATGAAATGATTCATCTCATATGTAAGGTCTTGTTCGTTTTTTTTTTAATTCTATCATCCATCAGACCGTAATTAAAACAAAAGTTTTATTTAAATGTAAATTTCTTTTCGACGGTAGATAAATAACTTGATAGTTAGAGATTTCATCGATACTCTAATAAAATTGTAACGTTTTTTACGCCAGCGGTGTGATATATAAATTGACATATAAATAAGTGTTGATAGTAGCAGAATGACATCGTTCGCGCCGCGCCGAAACGCCATGCCCACCGGGTTTGTTTACAGTCACCGAGACCTTGACACCAACCACGGCAATCGATATTTATATCATTTGAGAGCTATGGAAATTACCTGTATATATTAAATATAGAAGTAATTTTGACGGGGTAAATAAGTTCGTCTAAGTTACAAAAGACACGTAAGCTAAGAACAAGTAAGTTTATGTTGGACAATAGCAAAGGTCTTTTCGATGATGAAAAAAAAACTGAAGGAAAATAGTACAAATTATTCTGTAAGCGTGCCAAAAGTCATGTGTCATTGACAACCACAGACTACAAATGACAGTTTATATGGCTTGTCCTACACTAGCAATTCATAATTCCGACACGTCTATTTGAATTTAAAAAAAGAACGTCCTTTACAACGAACGAGTGATTGTTCAATCGCCCACACTACTCAAATGTTTGCAAACAGATATTTCCCGTAAGGATTGGCAAACCTTTGGATTAAATATGCAAATTATGTGCTTGCGAGGATAGGGTAGTGATCGCACGTACACCCGTGTCCCCATTGTACGACGGGGGCGCCGTCTGTCGTGCCAGAGCGCCGTGCCAGGAATGCACCGCCCGAGGAAATGGCTGCTGATGACTTAATCCACAAATACCTGACACTCATTAATAAAATGTATAATTAGGTACAGATAATTTCTATTCCCTTTTCATCTCTTAGGAATAAATAAAAACGCGCTATTTGTTATATGAGATGTCACATATCGTATAGCGCGTATTTGTTTTTCAACGTGCAATTTGTCCAACAATTAATTAACTGTCCTCCTATCTAGTTAACATTCATCATTGTCAGCTTAGTATCGCGCTAATTTATATTACTAATCTTTCCTAGGTCATATGTGCTGGCTGCATCGAAACATAACCAATTCGTTGATTCTATTATCTTTCTTATTGGTTTTTATAAGTTTAGTTCCTGAAACTAATAACCCAGTAAAAGACTGAATTTTGTTCGCTAGTATTGCGTTTACTGCGGTTCATATGACCATCGGTAAAGGCTCAGGATATAATTTGCAAATTAAAACCAGTTTTGATTGTGATCATCGTTCGCGGCCTGTGCTCAAGTACTTCGCACAGATGGTGGTACTTCGCCAGGGCCGTGGGAGCGGCTCGCAATTAACACAACAATTGCACGTTTGTCTGCCCGCCGGTGACGAGTTCGCGGAAATGATGACGTTATACGCAACAGGACACGCCTTTATCTCGAAGAACCAATTTACGGTTTTTAAATTGTTATTTTAACAAAGTTA